AATACACACACAACACTCAACCACCACAAACAGCCATAATCAGCAAACAATTCAACATTTAAATGCAAGATTTCAAGTTTAAACTCACAACTAATTTTCATTATTTACCTTTGCCACCATACATTTCATACCCCAGTTGATATTTTGTTTTATTTACATTTAACAGTTTAAATGCAGATCAAAATTATGTTTCTTGTTAAAAAAAAAAAAACAACAACACAGTTCGCTGTTGTCTGAATACAGCTTTATTTCAGTATGATTTGCTTTTTCAGAGAACTTTAGCTGGATGTAAATGATTTCAAAGCACTAAACTTTATTGCTTTAAAGGAACAACAGGAATAAAATTGGAATATAGAAATGATGAGAAACTGGTCAGTCACATAATGATACAGACATGCAGACATCTGACAGCCAGTCAATGATAAAGGCAGGCAACCTGTATTTCCTTTTAAAACTATGTACAATTGCTACACCACCCACCTGCTCTCCGGTAAGACAAATGCACTCATTAAACATTAAAAATGTTGTTGCAACGACAACAGAATAATATGTCCAAATACTCTACCGAGCTGACAAGGGAAAGTTTAATGACAGAATTTTCATCAAGTCCCACAGTAGGTTAACTATCAGTATGTGTCAATTAAAAAAGTTCTAACAACTGGAACTAAGCAACATGGTGTAATTTCAGATTTCAAAGAAGCCCAATAGTTAGTGTGGAAATTCGATGTGTATCAGCCACAAAACTTGCAAAATCATTTAATGGGTCAAGAAAAACAATCTAAAAAAAATAGCTCCACCTTTCTGTTAATTTCAATAAAGTGTTTGCTCATTGCCACTGTGTGTTGTTTCAAAAAAATATGAATTTGCCACAGTATCAAATTTCAATGCATTTAAAAAATATTGAAATCATGTCTATAAAAAGCTTGTCTTTTGATCAAATAAACGAGAAATTCTCAAATGCATCCATAAACGCTTTTTCTTTGTGTGCTTATTCTTCCCGGCTGGCTGGCTGATTAACGAGGTTTGCCCAGTTGTAAGTGATTGGTCAATCCAATAGAGGTAAACAGCACTGGTAAAAAGTACCCTCAACAAGCAAAGAGGAAAAGCAGTCACAACAGCAGTCACAAGTCAAAGCTCACTAGAGGCAGCCAAGCAACCATGTAACTTAGTCTCAACAAAAACTGTGTGTTGTGTTCTTTAATGTAGTATCCCCATAACACAGCTCATCAATAAGGAAAAGTTGTTGATGTGAGTCCATTGACAATAAATGAATGCATCTTTTTTTGGAATAGATATCAAGGAAAGAAATTTTAAAAATTTAAGGTGAGAATCCCATGTGGAGACTATCTCAGAAAAATGACCTTAGTAACACACCATTGTGTAATGATCACATCCTAAGTAAATTATCTACTCTATTTACTTTGTAAAAGCAAATAGAAAAATGTTTTGAAATCGCACAAGTATTTCAAATAATTTGTAGTGAGCTTTGACCCGGAGCATCGATTTTTCGTGGAAAAGCATTTTTTTCACAGTAAATGGAAGTAAAATCCCCTATTTTTCCTCTGGGTCTTATGTAACTATATCAACAAGAAAACTGTATAATGTACCATACTTACATTTAAAATCAACATTAGACCATACAGTGCAAAATATTTTGTATAATAAGTCTCTATTACCACTAATTTCATACAGGCTAGATGGTGTATTTAACACTATAGGGTCAGGAATACATGTTTGTGTTCCTCGCCCTATAGTGTTCCTTTAAAGGTTCTAGATTGATTAAAAATTTCATATAGTTTTTTAAAGATGTTGTAGTTTTAATGCTTCATGTGATTGAGGTCTCAATTCTTATCTTCCCAATCACAATCAAAATATCTTCTACTAGAGTTACTTTTCAGGATTCAGAATGGGTGCCTATTTATCAATAATCCATTGGTTTAGAAGATTAATTTTGTATTTTTTTTTTGTATTTCAATGTTTTATTAAAGAGACACTATAGGCACCCAGACCACTTCAGCTGATGAATGTAGTCTGGGTGCTGTGTTTTAGATGTGCTTCATATTCATGCTGATTTTCTTCCTGTTAAATTCTTTAAATATTTTTCAGCTTTCTGAAGCACAACTCCACTCCGTTAGCCATGTGTCCCCTTTTCACAAAACGTCCTCCTGATAGGAAAGTGAGCAGTAGCTCAGCCAATAAGAAACCAGTGTGAGCTGAGCTGCTGACTTGACACCATTCACACAGCTGATCACTGTCCTCCTCTCATCTGTATAGTATTTTACAGCCATGCTGACCTAAACCTATAGATACAACAACCACTTTAAAGTGGCCCAATGTTGTTATCCCATAGCAGCTCTATAATACAGAACTCTTCTGTCTTTTACGTTATCCACAATCCAATGGCATAATGCAAAATCAATGGGTGATGAAAATGGAGCATTTTTTTATGCCTCAATCTTGACATGATTATATGCTTAGCCTTTCAGCATTATTAATGGAAGAGGGGACTAAACTGCAGAACTAATTAAGATAGATACAATGTGTTTTTTTGGGGGGGGTTTAAATACATAGTTATCGTTACAACTACTACTACAACAACAGATTTGATTTTTTTTTTTTTCATATATAGTTTTTTATTTAGTTGAACAGGGTAGGTACATACATTTCGTCCAGTTGACAGTGTTAGATACATAAAACATTACATTGAAGTATTTTGCTAAATTTTAACATGGTCAGGTGCACATGAGGTATACATAACAGTGAGTATCTACACATAAGTTATCGCATGGTTAAGTTGGTGTGTATCGTCAACGTGGATTGTTAAGGCGTCTTATTTTCTGATATTTCGATTCAATGGAAGCCTAAAGGGGAACTTGGGGTGGGTGGGAAGGAGTCTAACTTGGGACTGGGGATATATAAATCCCTAACCCTGCCGGCTCCTGTTCTGTTTACTCTTGGTTTGCATTTACCTTATGGATTTCATTTACATTTGTATATGCGTTTACGGTCACATTGGAGTTTAACCCTTCTGTGTGACATAATATTATTTGCTTTTACGGTTTGGGTCTCCAACAGCCCCACTCCCTCACATGCCTATCCTCCCGGCCCTGCACCCTGCTAGCCACTAGTTCATAGGAGCCGATTATGTCCATTCTGCTGCTAACCGCCTCTATGGTGGGTATTTTTGTGCTCTTCCAGTTTTGAGCTAGGAGGACCTTTGCTGCGCTAAGTATATTGACTATCACTTTTCTGTGGGGATGTAGTGTCAACTCAGATATCATGTGTAATAGATAGTGTTCGGCCTGTAGCCGGATTAGGAGGTCTGTTGTGCTAGATATAAGGCCTTGTATTTGTTTCCAGAATGCCCCCAGCAGCGGGCACTCCCAAAACATGTGTAACATGGTTCCCTCTCCTCCCCCACAGCGCGAACACAGCTCAGATGCATCCTTGTAAATGTGTGACAGTCTATGTGGGACTAGGTACCACCGCATAGAAATCTTGCAGTAGGCCTCCCACAAAGAGAGGCTCTTTGATGCTCGTTTTGTATTCGTCATTGCCTCATACCATCGAGACAAGGGAATTTGGTGCCCTAACTCCTCTTCCCATTGCAGCATGTAAGATGTCTTCTCTCCGGACTGGCCGTTGAGAAGGGCATTATAACACATGGACAGTGGCTTCCTCAATTTAGGTGACAGAACTTGGGTGAGTAGTAGGGGAGGGTCTTCGAGTGGTTTTTGCATTTCTTTCAAGTGCGGTAATAGTATGTTTTTTACTCTAAGGTAGAGGAACATGTTTCTTTGGGGTAGGAGGTATTGCCGCTGAAGATCAGGGGAGGGTTTGATTGTGTTGCCCTCCAGGAGGTCTAGCACTTTATGTATGCCCTTCGTAGCCCAACCAGTCATGGGTAGGTCTGGGGAGAATGTGGCCAAGGTCGCCAGAGGTGCTTCTCTGAGAAGCGAGTGAGGGTTCATAATTAAGCGATTCCAGAGCTGCCAGGAACGCAGCAGTAATCGAGTGCACTGCAGTGGCTGCGCCCCTACCTGCTTAGGGGGTGTGCTGGTCCACAGGGAGTGTGTTATGTCTTGCGGGTGAAGGCATGCATTTTTCAGCGACAACCATAATGGCTGTTGGGAAGATTTCGTAAGTCTCAATAGGTGCACCCCCTGCGCTAAGATTGAGACTCTATAATACGTCTTGATGTCTGGCAATCCTAGGCCCCCTTTGGTATAAGTAAGCCCTAGGTTACGTTGGGCTACCCTCGGAGGCTTCCGTTTCCAAACCTGCGCATTTATAGTGGTTTGTAGTAGTTTGATCAGTTTGTTTGGTATTGCTATGGGCAGCATACGGAAGAGGTAGAGAATGTGGGGTAGTGTCATCATTTTAATTGTGTTTACCCAGCCTAACCAGGATATCTCTAAATCAGGATTTTCCCACTTCTCTAGGGTTGTTTTGAGTTTATGCGCTACGGGATAGTGGTTCTCTGTTAGGATGGCTTGGTATGTTTTCGTCAGTTTGATCCCCAGGTATGTAAGGGATGATTTGCGCCAGTCGAATGCATACTCAGAGCTTAGTTTGGCCATTAAGTGGTGTGATAAGTTTATCGGTAGTGCTTGAGTTTTGGAGGTGTTGTTTTTGTAATATGATACCTCTCCATAATCTCGCAGGAGCCCTGTCCTGGAGTGTAGGGATAGAGGTTGTTGGATTAGTAATAAACATGAGGATGTCATCGGCAAACAGTGCTATCTTGTTTGTGCCGCCTGGAGTTAACAAGCCATGTATGTGTGTGTTGCCGTTTATAAGGCGTGTCAGGGGTTCACAACAGAGGATGAAGATGAGCGGGGACAGTGGACAACCCTGGCGTGTACCATTGGCTATGGAGAAAGGTGCAGATAAAAACCTGTGCTAAAGACTTTCGGTGACGCGTGTTGGTAGAGGGCCATTACACTTGCCAGGAAAGCGGGAGGAATTCCCATTTTGCTCAGCGTGTGTTCCATATATCCCTAGTGCAGGTGGTCGAACACCTTTTCGGAGTCCAGCGCCAGCACTAGGCCCTGCTGTGAGGAGTGATTGGCCCAGTCAATAAGGTTTATGAAGTGGCGGGTATTGTCCCCCACCTGTTTCCCAGGTACAAACCCCGCTTGTTCGGGGGAGATGAACGTGGGAAAGAGTGTTTTGACCCTCGTCGCTAACATTTTGGCATATAGCTTGACGTCCGAATTAAGTAAGGAAATTGGTCGTAGGTTGGCGCAGTTAGTGGGGGGTTTGTTAGGCTTAGGAAGTGTGACAATGAATGCCTCCAGCATCTCTCGGGGCATGGTTCCAGACTGTTTAATAGTATTGATCAGTTGAAGCAGGTGGGGAGTTAGTTGTTTTGCAAATTTTATGTAGTAGTAATTAGAAAGCCCGTCTGGGCTAGGAGATTTGTGTTTGGGGAGGGCATTAATAGCATCCCTGAGTTCTTCCTCTGTGAAAGGGGTGTCTAGATACGTGCCCTGATCCTGAGATATGCAGGGGAGAGGCATCCTCCCCAAGAAGGCCTCTATTTCTGTAGCTGAGGGCTGGTGTGTCCTGGGTCTTTGTGCAGTTGGTATAGCGATGCATAATACATCGCCAGTTCATTGACTATGTCCTGGGGATTATAGAGTTTCTCTCCTTGTTTGGAGGTTATGTAGGGGATTTTAGCCTGAAGGTATTTTTGTTTTAGCCGTCCGGCTAAGAGTTTGCCTGCTTTCTTCCCTAACGTGTAGTGGGTTTGTTTCATATAGCGCATGTATTTTTCACTCGTTTTTAACTGCAGGTCTTTTAGTTATGTGTTGAGTGTCTCTAAGCATTCGTGGTTCTGCTTAGTAGGATTCATTTTGTGAGCGGATTCTATGGCAGCAATTTCCCGCGTCAACCTAGCCTGCTCAGTGCATAGAAACATAGAAACATAGAATGTGACGGCAGATAAGAACCATTCGGCCCATCTAGTCTGCCCAATTTTCTAAATACTTTCATTGGTCCCTAGTCTTATCTTATAGTAAGGATAGCCTTATGCCTATCCCACGCATGCTTAAACTCCTTTACTGTGTTAACCTCTACCACTTCAGCTGGAAGGCTATTCCATGCATCCACTACCCTCTCAGTAAAGTAATACTTCCTGATATTATTTTTAAACCTTTGTCCCTCTAATTTAAGACTATGTCCTCTTGTTGTGGTAGTTTTTCTTCTTTTAAATATAGTCTCCTCCTTTACTGTGTTGATTCCCTTTATATATTTAAATGTTTCTATCATATCCCCCCTGTCTCGTCTTTCCTCCAAGCTATACATGTTAAGATCCTTTAACCTTTCCTGGTAAGTTTTATCCCGCAATCCATGAACCAGTTTAGTAGCCCTTCTCTGAACCCTCTCTAAGGTATCAATATCCTTCTGAAGATACGGGCTCCAGTACTGTGTACAATACTCCAAGTGAGGTCTCACCAGTGTTCTGTACAATGTGCATGTTGCTTTTTTGGTGTTGGCTCCTAGCTTGATAAGCTCACCTCTCATAACTGATTTGTGGGCCACCCACTGTGTAGTAAGCGCAGTTTCGCAGTGTGAATGTGCCTCGAAGTAAGCATCTAGAGATGCTTGAAGTCGGGGGAGATATTGTATATTATCTAACAGGGCTTCATTAAGGCGCCATGCTCCTCTCCCTCTGGCAGGGTGTGGTATTTTCATAGTAATCACCAGTGGGCCATGGTCTGACCAAGTGATTGGGCCTATATGCATGTTTCTGGCATGTGGCAGTGTACGTTTATCAAAGAGGCAGAGGTCAATTCTAGTGTACGTCATATGTACTGGTGAATAAAACGTGTAGTCCCTTGTGCCAGGGTATAGGTTTCGCAATACATCGTAATAGTCATGAGAGTGTAGTAGATGTGCTAAATGGCGACCTAACGAGGCCGACACATGCTTGGGGGGTTGGTTATGCACCCTCTGTATGTCCATAAGCAGGTCCAGGGTACAGTTAAAATCACCGCAAATAATAGTGTGTCCGGATTTGTGCTTTCCTATTTTGCGGAACGCCATGGTCAGGAAGGATTTTTGTTGATCATTCGGGGCATACAGGGAGACAATTGTAATTTGGAGACCGTTTAAGGAGCCCACTAGTATGAGCAGTCTGCCATCTTTACTGGCATGTTGTGTGGTGGGGGTGAATACCCAATCCCTGTGGAAATATACTGACATCCCTTTGGATTTAGTGTGTGACATGGCATGGTAGGCCTGGGGAAATTGCTTAACCTTGAAGGAGGGTGGTTTGCGTGTGCAAAAATGAGTCTCCTGCAAGCACACTATGGCCGCTCTGGATTTGGTCATCTCTTGGGCTGTTAGTCTGCGTTTGTGAGGGCTGTTAAGGCCTTTAACGTTCATAGAGAAAATTTTTAGGGTGTCATCCATGATTTCTGAATAAGGTCGTGTTAGTATCTGTGAAGCGTGATTTCCTTAATGGTAACGGAGTATGGCAGGGACGGGATACGGGGGGGGGAACATAACAGTAATAACAACCAAAAAATACAACTAAAGTATAGACACAGCGCCATCAACACTAACGGTGCATTCCTCGGCTGAGGGACAGGCCGGCACTCCTCGCCAGTAGCTGCGTTCATCCTTGGGGGTGCCTTCGGTGTTAGAGGCGAAGCGTGAATGACTTACATGCTATCAACATTAACACAGCCCTTGGTGAGAGAATCTTGCATAGCCCTTAGGTATCGTCCCCAGGAGCCTCCCTCCCTCCCCCCCGACAGTCCCTCCAGCATCAGTTAGAGCTACTGGACTAGAAGCAGTAAGAGCCTAAGTATCTCCTATTATACCATGCAATGACAAACACATATTTACGTATACTGGTATACTGTAGAGGACGTTCGGAGGAAGAGAGAGTCCCAGGAGCCAAGTCTCTTAGGCCTTGACAGGCAAGCCCGCCATTTGCCATTCACCGTGTAGGCGCTTCTGTGGCTCCGTAGTGGCTGCTACCAACGTGTGGGTTGGGAACAGTCCCCATTCTTTTATTAGGCGCATGCCCACCTCTGGCTCATTTGCAGTATGGTTCTTGCCGTTTCGAGATATGATGAGCTTCGTGGGGTACCCCCAACGGTATTGGATAGCGTGGTTCCTCCGAGTTTTTGTTACCGTGATGAATTCCCTCCGGCGAGACATCGTCAGCGCGGAAAGATCCGCATAGAGGTGAACACCCGTGTATGGTTCTGGTAGTTGATCCAGTTTGCGGGATGCTGTTAACAATTTAGATTTGAAATAGTGGAATTTCACGACCACATCATGAGGTGTTTCAGGCGCCAACCTCGGGGGTCTTGGAAGGTGGTGGGCCCGGTCTAGCAACCAGTCTCCCTCGGTAATGTCGGGCTGTAGTGTTTTGCATAGTCCCGTAATATAAGCTGATAGCTCTTCCGTGCTCACTTTTTCGGAGATGCCACGGAAGCGGACATTGTTCCTCCTGGACCGGTCCTCCAAGTCTGCTAATTTGCATTTGAGCATTTGTTGTTCTTCCACTAATTGGTGCACCGTGTCAGCGAGCATATCATGCTCCGTGCACATGTCTTCTGTGCGGGCTTCCAGTCGGTTCGTCCGCTCACCCAGGTCAGAAATCTCTCTTTTGATTTCGCCTGTCGCCCTCCTGAGATCCGTCTGGAGTGTGACTCTGAATTCCTGCAGCATGGTGTACAACCTTTTTTCAGTGACCGGAGAGTCAGTATATTGGCATGCGTCTCGGTTGGACTCCATCAGGGCTTCAGATGATTGAGCATGGGATGGAGCGTCGTCGCCATCTTGAGTAGGCCGCAAGCGGTCTTTTCTGGGGGGCGGATTTGGTCCGTCAGTTTCGTTTGTTTGGCGGGTGCCATCGAGTGGTGTGTGCCTGGTAGCTTGCCAGGTAATGGTAAGGTGGTGGTAGGGCTGTGTAGCTGTTTAAATCAGGCTTTTAAGTCATTCAGGACCGGAGCTCTCACTACATGCGTCCGCTCGCATCAGCAGTTGGCCACGCCCCCGATTATTATTTTTTTATTGCAACTTAAAGTGCAGGGCAAGCCACACATTTTAGCCCCTTTGCCTGATTTTTTTTTTTTTTAATCAAGCTACAAAACCCCCTACGGACTGGCCTCTACTGATTACACACATTTCAGCTCTTTTGTCTGACTTTTTTTTTAGTCAAGCCCTATATTCCCTTATTGTACAGCGCTACGGAAATTGTTGGCTCTTTATAAATAAAAATAAAAATAATTATATTTTTATTATTAGTGGCCTCCATTTATGACTACCAATTAAACTTTCCCAGTAATAATTTATTATGAGATTGTTCACTAACATGTCTTTGTTGAGATAGTTAGAGAGAGAAAGAGAGAGAGAGAGAGACAGACAGACAGACAGATAGACAGACATAGATAGATAGACAGATAGATAGATAGAAAGATATAGGCTATATTTATTATAGTACAAATTTTGATTTGAATAAAAGAAATAAGTTCAAGGTCAAAGTATATGTTGAGTAGCTAAAATAAGCAAGACAAATTTACATCTCCAGTACAAGGCTAGTTTGCATTTGAGCAAACATTTCATATGATTAAACATATGGCTACTGGGTACAAATATTGCACAACCGCTGAAATACTTAGAAAGGATATCATAACCCTCACCTCTAACCAATTCAATGAATAGAAATGTAAACATGCTGAGCACTGGGAAACGATAAACGGGTTTCAGCTAGTTTAGTGCAGCTGTCATTAAAGCAACACTCCACTGCCCAAATAAAAAATGAATCTGTACATAAATCACTATTTAGTAGATATACCCCAATGAAAATATGTACAGATTTTATTATGCATTTTTTTCAACAGCTGCAGATCTCTTGTCTGCTGTCTTTGGAAGCCAGCTCACTTCTTCCCCTTTCTGTGGCTTTCAGCCACTTCCCAACACAGTTCAATGAAAGTATTTCCATCAAATAAATGCATGGCCAGACACCAGCTTCTGGCAGCTTTCCTGAGGTAACTTAGTCCATTGCTCAGGAGCAATGGTCAACAGTTCAGTAATATTCTTGGGTTGCATGATGCAACCACCTTCTTCAAATCCCACCAGATTATTTATATGGGGCTCAGGTCAGGTGACTGTAATGGCCACAGTAGAATTTTCCAGGACTTCATGTGCAACCAAGCCTTGGTGGAATTTGAGGAATGCATGGGATCATTGTCTTTGTTTATTTTGACAATAAAACCTGATTTTCAAGGGGGTTGAATAATTTTGATAACAACTACATTGACCTACTGCAGGTTCTTTTTTGTGCTATCTTGGGACATATATATATATATATATATATATATATATATATTGTACCCCCAACTGTCTTCCCACCTAATGCTTACTGGCTTACTGGCGGTGTGAATCCCAGCAAAACAAGGCATGTGAGCTAATGCTGGCCTCCAGGGTCATTAGGTCTTGAAATACACTTACAGTTGTGTTCATGAATTGCCATGTCTATCACTTGCAGACCTTCAGC